AACATTTTAATAAGATATAAATTCTTCTGGGGTGCCTGGGTGGCTCAGTGGATTAAGCCGCTGCCTTCGGCTCAGGTCATGATCTCAGGGTCCTGGGATCGAGCCCCGCATCAGGCTCTCTGCTCGGCGGGGAGAGGCCGTCTCTCTCTGCCTGCCTGCCTCTCTGCCAACTTGTGATCTGTCAAATAAATAAATAAAATCTTTAAAAAAAAAAGATAAATTCTTCTAATGAAATATCACAAATGTGTGCAAACACAAAACAATTCAAACAAAATCAGCTTTTTAAAAAAAGATTTTATTTTTAAGTCATCTGTACACCCAACGTAGGGCTCAAACTTAGAATTCTGAGATCAAGAGGTGCATGCTCTACCAACTGAGCCAGCCAGGCACTCCCAAAATTAGCTTTAAAAAAAAAACTAATTTAAAAAAACAAATTATAAGTAGTCACAAAATGGGAGCTAATTGAGTTTTTAAACTTACACACTTGGATCAATATAAATAAGAAATTTAAGGGGCGCCTGGGTGGCTCAGTGGATTAAGTCTCCGCCTTGGGCTCAGGTCATGATCTGGGATTGAGCTCCGCATCAGGCTCTCTGCTCAACAGGCTCCCTCTCTCTCCGCCTGCCTCTCTGCCTACTTGTGATCTCTCTCTCTGTGTCAAATAAATAAACAAAATCTTTAAAAAAAAAAAAAAGAACCATAGTCAAGGGCATCTGGGTGACTCAGTTGGTTAAGCATCTGCCTTTGGCTCAGGTCATGATCCCAGTGTCCTGGGATCTAGTCCTGCATCAGGCACCCTGCTCAGTGGGAGCTTGTGCACGTGTTCTCTTAAAACTAAATAAACTAGGGCGCCTGGGTGGCTCAGTGGGTTAAAGCCTCTGCATTCAGCTCAGGTCATGATCCCAGGGTCCTGGGATCGAGTCCCATATCTGGCTCTCTGCTCAGCAGGGAGCCTGCTTCACTTCTTCTCTCTCTGCCTGCCTCTCAGCCTGCTTGTGATCTGTCTGCCAAATAAATAAATAAAATCTTTTAATAAATAAATAAATAAAATTTTAAAAATTTAAAAAAGAACGATAGTCAAGGTTTACTGATTTTTCAATACCTGAAGTATTTCTCAATAAAAAAAGAAGTTGAAATAGAGCATTTCTCCTACATCTGTAGTTTTACAGCTTTTAAAATAAGATTTCATTATTTCAGGGGCGCCTGGGTGGCTCAGTGGGTTAAAGCCTCTGCCTTCAGCTCAGGTCATGATCTCAGGGTCCTGGGATCAAGCCCCGCATCGGGCTCTCTGCTCAGCGGGGAGCCTGATTCCTCCTCTCTCTCTCTCTCTGCCTGCCTCTCTGCCTACTTGAGATCTCTCTCTCTCTGTCAAATAAATAAATAAAATCTTTAAAAAAAAAAGATTTCATTATTTCAGTAATTCATTCTTAAAATCACAAAAACACTTTTAATTACTCACGACTGTCCTCAAACACATTATAGCTAGTGAAGTGAAGGGAAGATAACTGCATACAGCAATGCTGCTTCTATAACTAAACTAATTCTGAGCATCGAAAAATTCAGCAAGAAAATGAATTGAAAACACAGGTCATAGAAGGCCAAGCCCTATCTATAACACTTTCCTTAAAAAGTGATGAATAGCAAAAAACTACTCCAAACACTCGTAACTTGATGTTTTAATCATCTAACAAGAGTGGAAGGTGAATATTATTTTTTCTATAACACTATATTTCAGCCAGAAACAACCTTAGCTAATAGACTATCATAATGTGACAATTCCTGCCCTACCTCTGAAACACGCATATTCATTTAATACACAGGAATATCCTCTGAAACACATGCTACTTTATCACCTCCATTTTAGGGATGGACAAACAGGATTTACAAGTGCCTTGCTCAAAGTTACACAGCTGGTAAGTGGCATAGTCCCTGCTCCTAACGAGTGTCTTCATTTAAACTTTAAACTCCCCTTTTTAAATGATGTCACTATTTCCTCCCCATGCTGCCTTCATCCATCTACAAAGGAAGCCTTGAAACAAGTAAACCTCTAATTTAAGTAGCACCCCAGCACCTAAATACAGCAGAACCTTCACTATAACCTCTAAAACAAAGTCTCCTGTAATGCAAACCCAAACATAAATTTTAAGATGCCAATCTTTTGGCCCATGTTTCATCCTTTTCTTTCCTAACCTCCATTGGAAAAACACGGTTGGGCGGAAAGAGGATCATTCTCAAAGCTTAAATTCCAAGTTTCTTAAATTTGGCAACAATACTGTGCTTTGGGACTTTAAAATTATAAGCACGGTTCTCAGAGGAAAACATTTCCTTTATTAGCAGTTGGCTTTGAAAATTCCATTCTAGGATGCTAAATATAACCAAATACCTCTGACTTCTAATAAACACATTCTCCAGATTATTTTGAAACTAATGGTTGCCTGCTTATTTACAAAACAATTTTGCCACGACCATTAAGCAAATGGAACATTTTAAAGACTCTTTCAAATTTGTTCCAGTTCTTTTAATGAACTGACCTGGTATTATTTTCTGAATTCTTCTACTATGAAATAAGAAAATTCTCATTTCACAATTCATTTCTTTAAAGAAACAGCCTTGCTTTATTCTAATTTTCTTAAGTTTTAACATAAGAATATCAGCAAAGCCAGAATCGTGGAAATAGGTTTTTTAAACTATGAAATAGAGCATTTTTAAAGATTTTATACATTCATCAAAGGTACATAAAGCATTTCACAGTTCTTAAAATGTATCTTTATTATTAAAAATACCATACTTGGGGGGCACCTGGGTGGCTCAATGGGTTAAGCCTCTGCCTTCGGCTCGGGTCATGATCTCAGGGTCCTGGGATTGAGCCCCGCATCGGGCTTTCTGCTCAGCAGTGAACCTGCTTCCTCCTCTCTCTGCCTGCCTCTCTGCCTACTTGTGATCTCTCTCTTTCTCTGTCAAATAAATAAATAATAATAAAATCTTAAAAAAAAAAAAATACCATACTTGGTAGTTCAGAAATACTGAATAACAGGACAGGGGAGGAGCTGAGTGCCTTGTTCTGGGCTAATGGACTACATCAATCAGGTTTTTAACTGAATGCATAGCTGCTGTGTTTTAGGGAACAAGCACTTAGTGGAGCTCACAACCCCAGACATTCTGTCATTGTACAAGCATTTCAAGGGCAGTTGTAAAAATTTAAGGTACCTTTAGCTGGACAGCTCCTCAAGTTCTCCCTACCTAAAACATGGAATGAGAAAATAATTAAGACTCAACTGCAACTTTTTCTCTGGGAGATGGATCCAAGGAGTGGGAAAGGTAAAAACTTTCACCTCACAATCCCATGGAGGGGGGTGTTTGTTTTCACCAGTAAGTATGTCTATTACAAATAGCTTTTTTATAGCCCCCTGGCTATTTTGCCTTCTTTTGTCTCCCTGTCTTCATAGCTTTTAGGCCACAAAGTCCCATTAACATTAAATCTTAAACAGAGCTACCCAACCTCTAAACATCTAAATATTCATCAACTAATATATGCAGGATAGGGCAGAGTTCTTTCAGGCCCAACCAGAATATTTAATGGGAAGATAAGAGATTTCAAAGTACCATTTCTCTGAAACTGACCCCTAACCTTGGGCTGAAACCCTAAATTTTCTCCAAAATGTATTCTAAAAATTAATATGAAGAGTGCTCCTTGAATGATCTACTGTCAACAGCAGTAACAAAAAGTTTGCTTAACACCCTATTATCTTTCACCCCAAACATGCATCCTAGTATAACTGCTCTGTTGACAACCTATCCCCAAAGTTTGTGCTTTCTTCCTTCCTGGTGTTTTCCCCAACATCCCTTTCCTCCAGTTATCAAAATCTGCAAGCTACACACATAAGTGGGTGCTGTAAGGCCTGGGGTAGTCCTGGTGTAGAACAACAGGGATTGGTGGCCACAGCTGTTCCTCAGCTCCAGTCCCATGTTAATCAGGTCAGACTATGATGGCAGATCTTCCAATTATTCACATAGGCCTGAAATTCACACTGTTAGGAGGAACCTTGTGGTCTTTAAAATAGCATGTGAACCAAAGAGAACATATGCAGGATACCCACTGGCAACCCCCAAGTTAATTTGGGTGTTCCATTCTGACCCAGGCTCCCTCGCTCCATTCTACACATCACTGCCAGATCCATTTACCAAATACACTGCTCCTGAAGCTCGAACTATTACCGCCAAGTCTCAACCCTTACGCTGTCATTCAACGTCCACAGAACCAACCACTCTCAGCTTCCTCAACTCCCCTACACAAATCTTTGACTTCAGGGAAAGGTGTCTGTCTACTCCCCTCATCCCTCACCCCCGAACCAGCTGCGTCCCCGTCAAGATGGCCTCTTTTTTACCCTCCTGCTCTACCCCATCAATGCCCACACTTGAAGCAGGAAACCTACGCTGGGAGTATACCTTCCAAGACCTGCTGACGACGTGAGTCAAGAAACCTCTCTGCTTAATTTAAAGCCAATAGATCTCACTTTCAAGAAAGAAATGAAATCTCCTAAGAGGCAAATCCCATGGCCTTGTCCTGATAGCCGCCTCCTCGCCCAAATAACATTGTAAAGGGAAGCAGAGAGCCTTAGACCGGCTCAGATGAGTCTCCTGCCAAAGAAGGCTTTGCGGGGTCCCGATGTTTCCACACCAGGAAGGCCTCGGGGACGTGGGGGACTAGAACGGGACCCCAACCAACGCTGCGAGGCAGGTGGCCCCGCGCAACCTCCCGCGCGCTCCTTCCTGCGCCCCGGAGATGCCATCCCCAACCAGTCCCCGGAGCCGGGGTTCCGACCTACCTCCCCCTTCACGCGCTCCACCAAGCCCCCCACCCAAACACCCCCGGTGCTGCCCAGGGCCGCCGTCGGCCGCGACAAAAGGGTCAGAGAGCGAGACGACCCCTCTGCGCGCGGCCCCGCGGACCTCCGGGGGGCGCCGCTGCCCGGCCGCGCCAACCCAGACGCAGCCGCTACCTTGTCCTCGGGCGCCGCGTCCGGCTCGCGGGCCGCCCTCTGCCTCAGCTCGGTCATGCTTGGAGACCCCCGCGCGACTTCGCGGCAGGCGAGCAGCGCAGCCGCCGGAGCGGGCAGCTCAGTGCGGGCGCGCGCGGACTCCGCTCGGCCGGCCCCGCCTCGCCTGAGCGGCTCTCAGGACCCACCACAGCCCGGCCGCCGGCCGTGGAACTCTACCCCGCCCAGCGCCGCCGCCGCCCTTTCACCCGGGTGGAACACAGCCTGCTCCAGCGCCGACCCGCTCACTCCGCTAGGGAGGAGGGCCCCCGGAGCGAGCGCGCACGCGCACCGCCGCCATCACGGCCGCAGAGATCCACCAATGGCGCGAATGCTTCAGGGAGGCGAAGTTCTGGGGGCGGGGAGGAGTGGAACGGAGAAGCGTGCGTTGGACTAGCTGCGAGAGGAGGCGGGAAAAGGCGTGTGTTTCCTAAGGAGACTAGCCAATGGGAGCTCCGGCCTGACAGCGGAAGGCTGGCGCTGGCGCCCTGAATCCCAGGGGCAAAATGAGTAGCCGGGTCGAGAAGCGGCATCCTCCAAGCTGTAGCCTGGAGGATGGTGTTTGCTCTAGGCTTCGCGTTCTCCGAGGCCAGGGCTCGTCCCTCACGCATACAGGTAGACACTTGTTAAGCCCTGAAGTGGAAAAGCCCGAGGATCCCCCAGTGTAAGAGAAGACGCCCACGTGATAAGGAAGTGAAACCCAAACTTTAGTCGGCTTTGCTTTGCCAAGCTGTCTCTAGTACTTATGGTTAATTATGCTAGCCACTGAACTAAGTAATCGCTTTATCTCATTGAAGCTGCCGGGAAGCAGATACGATTTTTATTTTACAGATAAGATCTTCCACGGTTTTTCAAATTTCCGTCTTCTGGACTGTTGAAAGACCTTTTCTTGGACAGGAATGCTGCCTACTTCGTTCGCAGTCGATCCCCTGTGTACCTGAAATATACTTAGTACTTGAATGGATTTAAAAATTCTCCTAAAGGAAGGGCATTTGGGTGGCCTAGTCGGTTAAGCGTCTGCCCTCAGCTCAAGTAAGGATCCCAGGGCCCTAGAATTGAGCCCCCCGTTGGACTCCCTGCTCATTGGGAAGTCTGCTTCTCCCTCTCCCTCTGCCCCTCCCTCCGCTCGTGTTCTCATTTTCTCTTGCTCATTCTCCCTCAAATAAAATCATAAAAAAAAAAAAATTATCCTAAGGAAAATTAACCAAGGTCTCATACCTACAAAGTACCCACTAGGAATTAGAACACAGATACGTTTGTTACCAAAGCCCATGATAATCATTGCACATACTTCAGGCTTCCTAAATTCGTTGTTAATACCTGTGTTGTCAAACATTGATTTCAGCGGTCCCTATTCTCTGCTTTGTGAGTAATGTAAAACAAGTATGAAATGGGGTCCCTTCCCATAAGCATACTGTAATTTAACAAGGAGAGAAACCTGCGCAGGTAGGAGTTGCAATTTTGCAATTTTATGTTACCAGTTTTGACCTTAGCTGTGGGTTCTGGGTACAGTAGGGAGAATTCTGAGAAAAGCATTCTATTTTCTTGATTTCTGTAAGTATATTCCAAAGTTCCTGTAACTGCTTCACAGTGACGGTGAACTAGGTGTGGAGGAATTCTGAACTCCTGGTGTGCTTTGTTCCCTACCAACAACATTGCACAAATACTTAGTGGGTTTTGGCCGAGCAGGGGTGGACAGGTCGGACTCGACATACATGACAGACCACTCCTTTCAGTCCATAATTTATTTATAGAAAGAGACTTTGCTTTTGTATTTTATTTTGTCTTTTGTTTCGACCTTACAAAAGTAAGTAGCACAGTGATGGTAATCTTAAAGCTCTTTTAATCTCTGGAGGACTCTGACCACCATTTTGACCAATGTCAGTGGTTACTTCTTCATCTAAAAACCAGGCACCTCTTGAGTAAATTACCCCAGGTTTATTATCTAGAAGATGTAGGAAGGATGTAAACACAGAGAAAGCCACAAGGTCATCCTCTGAGATAGAGATAGATAGAGATGTATCCAAATCCTCACCCTTAGGGTATGTAATAGTGAAAGCTCACAACTAAACATGCATCAATCCTTCCAAATCAACTATTGCCTTTCAAACCTAGCCTAATATAAAGGAGGCTGGTAGAGCACTGCATATAAATCAGTTTCAGAATGAACAGTATGATTACTAGGTTGGATAAGCCCTACAGTTTGGCCGGAACAAACTTCTCAGCCATTGCTCTCAGCCCTCCCAGGCTGAGCTTAAACCAAGTACATTTCTGTAGTCAGTGCTTTAGAGAACAGGAAGCAGTATTCAGACCGGAGAAAGTCATACTAATAGGCCTTTAGGCAAGCTTTAGGGTTTCTCTATGTATAAACTCTAGAAAGAAATGAAAAGTAAAAATCTCCCCCTACCTCCAGCCCAAAGAAAATTTTTGATCCTTTTTTTTTTTTTTTTTAAGATTTTACTTATTTAGGGACAACTGTGGGGCTCAGTCGGTTAAGCTGCTGCGTTAGGCTCAGGTCGTGATCCCAGGGTCCTGGGTCCGAGTCCCACATCGGGCTCCTTGCTCAGCAGGGAGCCTGCTTCTCCCTCTGCCTCCGCCTGCTTGTGCGCTCGATCACTCTCTCTCTCTCTCTCTCTCTGACAAATAAATAAATAAATAAATAAAATCTTTTTAAAAAATAAAGATTTTACTTATTTATTTGAGAGAGGAAAAAAAAACAGACAAGCTGCGGGAGCAGCAGAGGGAGAAGCAGGCTCCCCACTGAGCAGGGAGCCTGAATTGAGGGCTCCATCCCAGGACCCCAGGATTATGGCCTGAGCTGAAGGAAGATGCTTGGCTAACTGAACCACCCAGCTGCCCCAGATCCTTACATCACCTTATACTTCCTCCTCTATCCCTGATTTTTCTCTTCTTTTCCTCATATTATCTCTTTCTTCTAGGCTCATTTTTTTCAGTCTTATGGCATATCTTGTTTACAGAGACTTCTTTTCATTTCATTCCTTGATTAGTTCCCATTATTTTTATAAAGATTTTATTTATTTGAGAGAGAGCAGGGAGCCTGACACTGGGCTCCATCCGAGGGACCTTAGGATCATGACCTGAGCCAAACGCAGACTCTTAGCTGACTGAGACCCCCAGGTGCTCCTCCCCAAGTGTTTCTAAGGGGCAGCTAGACTTGAGACTCACACTAATACATGATATCACCTTATAAAGAAAGTTGCCAGAAATTATATAAAATAGTTTACAGCATTTTCTCTCCCAACATTCATTAACATTTTTCCAATCAATAATACATGTCTGATAAAGTGTGGAAAATGCATAAATGTATAATGGAAAACATCAAAATCATTAGTGATACTATCGGCCATGGGTAACTACTGTTGTTATTTATATTACTGCATTTTCATTCTATTTTCTAGATGTAACAGTTTTAGAACATTGGAATGCAACTATTTATACCATTTCTTTTTTTTTTAAGATTTTATTTATTTATTTGTCATAGAGAGTGAGCACAGGCAGACAGAGTGGCAGGCAGAGGCAGAGGGAGAAGCAGGCTCCCTGCTAAACAAAGAGCCTGATGCGGGACTTGATCCCAGGACGCTGGGATCATGACCTGAGCCAAAGGCAGCTGCTTAACCCACTGAGCCACCCAGGCGTCCCTATTTATACCATTTCTTAACCTGACTTTTCTTTTTATCATTAAATGTTCTTTAAGAATGGTATATGAGGGGTGCCTGGGTGGCTGGGTGGCTCAGTGGGTTAAGCTTCTGCCTTTGGCTCAGGTCATGATCTCAGGGTCCTGGAATCAAGCCCTGCATTGGGCTCTCTGCTCAGCGGAGAACCCGCTTCCCCCTCTCTCTCTCTGCCTGCCTTTCTGCCTACTTGTGATCTCTGTCAAATAAATAAATAAAATCTTTTAAAAAATGGTATTTGAAATGCTGTGGTATTCCATTTTGTGATTTACCATAATTTACCTCATGACATTTGTTAGACCTCAAGGTTATGTCCAATTTTAGAGGAATTTTTATAATTCTGGAAGTTGTTTTTTTGTTTTTGTTTTTTTAATGTGATAGACTCCAGGCTTGGTATGGAGTCCAACACAGGGCTTGAACTCACAACCCAGAGATCAAGACCTGAGCTGAGATTAAAAGTTGGGTGCTTAACCAACTGAGTCACCCAGATGCCCCTCTATAAGATATATTCTTTTTTTTTTTTTTTAGGATTTATTTATTTATTTATTTATTTGACAGGCAGAGATCACAAGTAGGCAGAGAGGCAGGCAGAGAGAGAGGAGGAAGGAGGCTCCCTGCTGAGCAGGAAGCCCGACATGGGGCTCAATACTAGGACCCTGGGATCATGACCTGAGCAGTGGCTTTAACCCACTGAGCCACCCAGATGCCCCTATAAGACATATTCTTAAATGTGCTTCATCTTGGTAAGTACCTCTGATTACTTCTTTAGGAAAAAAAAACCCTAGAGATTGAATTTGGGTATCAAGGAATAAATAAAATTTTAAGACTTCCATACACATTACCAAATTACTACCAGAGAAATTATACAATTTATACTCTAATCTTCAATGCATAAAAGTGCCCAGTTCCTTGATTTCTTCCTAACAATTAATATTGACATAATTTTCATTAATTTGGTAGATTAAAATTCTGTCACCCTTTAATTTACTCTTCTTTGTTTTGTAATGTGGCTAACCATTTTGTTCATACACTTACTAAGATAGAGCCTTGGACACTGCAAGCTAGCTACTTCTGGCTTTTGTTTGGATGCATTAAGTCCCCTTTTCTCTTGATCACTTTGAACTGATTCTCTGTCATGGAAACATAAAATGTACTAACCAATACAATGCTCTTAGCCATACTGAAGTTTTAAAACTTAGTCATTAAGTAGTCATTCCTTAGTTTCATGGGGATTATCCTTTTATGTTTAGAAGCCTGTAGCAAGATCTCATACATATTTACCAAAAGACTTTTACACATCTTATTGGGCTTATATTTATTTGAAAAAAATTTTTAAAGATTTTAGTTTTAAAAAGGGGATCAACCCCAAGGTCAAGAGTCCCATGCTCTATTGACTGAGCCAATATTGATTTGAATTTTGAATTTATTTATTT